AAAAAGGGTATACCTACTGTATATCAAGAAATGGAATTAAATCACAAAACGTTTAATCGAGTTTGACACTAGTATTATTATAGAATCAAATCAGCTGGGACTTACTGTTACCAGTAATAATTATACCATGAGTAATACTTTAGGATATTCAATATTTTTATACCCATGGTATTACTAAGAAGGTGAAGTCATGCAATTTTTCAAATTTATATTTTTGTCAAAATTTATATTCATAAATTCATTGTATGCACACAAAATCAGAGATGGGATGTTTTTTATGCATTGAATATTGACAAGGTAAATTACAGAAAATGCAGAGCTGGGAATGCTAACTGGAAATGAGGTTACATTTTTTAATTGTACCATGTTCATACCCTTCACTCTGAAAAGGAGGTGTCTGTCTATTTGTCTCTTGAAATCGCGATACAGCACATATTAAAAAATAAAATAAAATGTTGCCAAACAATTACCTCCTGATATTCGGTATTTTGAAATTTGACACATTTTTATGATTTTGTCTTAAAATTGGTATTTGAAGGTCATAATGGGTTCTCCGGTAGTTCCGGTGGCGAAACATTGTATGCATGGGTCCACGTTTTCATATAGCCGCTATATAACGGTACCTCCCGATATTCTGTATTGTCTAAAAATTTGTATTTGTGGGTTATAATAGGCTCTAGCACCGGCGGCGGAACATTGTGTGTATAGGTCCAGGTATAGCCCCCCATATAATGGTATCTCCCAATATTCGGTAATTTGATGAGATTTGCCACATTTTTCTACGGATTTGTCTAAAAATTGGTATTTGAAGGTCATAATGGGTTCTCCGGAAGCTACGGTGACGGAACATTGTATGTAGAGGTACACGTTGTCGTGTAGCCCCCATATAAAGGTACCTCCCGATATTCGGTAGTTTGATGAGATTTGCCACATTTTTTAAGGATTTGCAAAAAAAAATTGGGATTTGTAGGTCATAATGGGTTCTCCGGTAGCTCCGGTGGTGGAACATTGTATGTAGAGGCCCACTTTGTCGTATAGCGATACACGATACCAACCGATATTCGGTATTTTGATGATTTTCGCAACATTTTTATGGATTTATCTAAAAATTGGTATTTGTAGTTCGCAATGGGTTCTAGCTCTGGTGGCGAAACATTGTATGTAGTGGTCCACGATTTCCTATAGCCCCCATATAACGGTACCTCCTGATATTCGATGTCTTTATGATTTTTCCCACATTTTCCAAGGATTTGCCTAGAAATTGGTAATGAAAATGGTACCTCCGGATATTCAGTATCACGATACAATTCTTTTTCAAGAATTGTTACAAATTTGAATAATTTTTTTATTCAAAATCGATTTGACAGTTCTTTGTCCCAGCGATGCGTCTACCTGTATTCTTGTACCATGTGTACCTAGTTGTATTTAAATCGCTAAATTTTCAATCAGCTGATGATACTGGAAAGTTCTTAGAGTATGTTCATATGCAAACTTTTTTCCGTGCTACTGGCCAATCACAATATAGGTAGACGCGTCGACACAGCTGCTGGGACAATGAACTGTCAAACCACTTTTGATATTGAAAATCGCAAATGAAACTTTATTTAAATTCGTAAAAATTTTTGAAAAACGCGAGTTATAATAGCCTCCGACTGACGTAGTATAAGAAAACAAGAAAAATCTACTTATATTTGAAAAAAAAAAAACATTTAATTTTTTGAGATATCAATGCTCCCAAGCGTTGATGCATCTACCTGTATTCTTCTGCCATGCAAAATATATTTGACTATGCATGATCAAAACCAATCACCGTTCATATCACATCGCTTTACAAATTTATGCATACGAACTCTTCGTAACTCGACTGTCCAAATTGCTCTCTCAACTCGTTCTTATGTACTGGATCTTTGGATTATTGAAAGACATTCGGTAATAATTTTTAAAAATAGTTTCAAACCCATGTTAGTCAAAAATAAGTAGATTTATAAATGTTTTCTTATACGATGCAAATCGAAGGTTGTTCAATACTTTTTCATTCAACATTTTCAATTCCAAAATCAGTTTGACAGTTCATTGTCCCAGCAGCTGTGTTGATTTGACTACCTGTATTCTTCTACCATGGTACACACACAAATCAGAGATGGAAACCTCTTTTTATGTAGTGAAATAAGACAAGGTAAATATCAGAAAATGCAGAGATGGGAATGCTTATTTGAAATGACCTTACCTTCTCATAAAAATATTTTCAATATAAACATAACCATATTATTTTGTCAAATGTTCTAACAGCATTCGATGTTTTATTCTTTTCAGATACTAATGTCTGTAGATGACCCCAAAATGAGTTTCAGCACTAAAGATAAGTGAATTTTAAATGTTATATAAATTTATAAAAATACAAATTATGATGATGATTATTATTTCAAAAAAAAAAAAAATGTTCACATACGTTTACGTAAGGGATTGTAGTTTCTTTAATTAATAATTGAATTCTAACATAACCTGTATTATATTGAAATTTTACATTGGTGAAATTTTTAAAATCCTATTATACAGAGAGATAATGTAGACCACACCCACCTTAATACTTCTTTAAATTTATGCTACGTTTACCTTGCGTTTGTACATGACAAACTACCTTACTCATCGTTTTTTCATATTGCAAACAAATTGTGGAGAAGATGGACTATTTGACATTAAAGGTTCTTGATATAAAGATTTTCACCGTAAAGGGTTAACGAGGCCTTGTTTTTTGAATAAAAAACAATCTATAAAAGGTCTATATTCACCTGTGTAAAGTTTGTAACATTTTCCACATTTAACATTCTTCTTTTCAATTAAATTCACTTTTCTTTTTCGTAAACTTTCCCGTCCGATTATCAATATATTTCAAATTTGTAAATATCCAGTATGTATTCAAAATATGTATGTTGAACATTTGTAATTTGTAGAAATAATACTGAAGCATGCTCATAATTATAAATATTTTCCTTAATTTGTTAATTATTTAACAAATTCTTTTCTGTTTTATTTATTTTCAGGACAATTGGCAAATAATTTTATGTTACAATAGTTTAGCATTCTTTAAAAATCTTATATTTTTATTTCATTTATTTACAACAACTCATTGGGTTTAGTATAAGCAAGTTCTCTATTACTCCGCATATGATCTGTTCGCAAAATGTTCTACCAAATTATAGCGCGTTTAGATACAAAATTTTATACGGATTTATTCAACCTGATTTATTTATTTTGAATCCGGTGCGGAATCTACATGGTATAGCATTAGTACTGCAAATGTTTCCACAAAGGCGTTCTTATACATATTTTTTTTGCTATTCTTGCACTCTCTTTTGGTTGTGTATGTATCCGTAAACAAACATCAGCTGAGCAGCATAGGTATCACCCTAGAGGTGCATATTAATATTAAACCCAATGGGTTAATCTTTAATAGTAAAAATGCGTTATAAGAGTCCAATTCAAAGGAGAAATATAATACGAAAACATCTTAAAAATCTTTCGTCATGGAATTTTTCTCCCAGGCTTTGCAGAAATTTTAAAGTAACTGAAATTGAATTATTAAAGTGTGATTCTATGACATACAAATCGGTTTATTATAAGCAAAGAAATACATCACAAAGCATACGGATATCGATATCGTAATATTTGTGTCTCGCTTAACTCTCCTTCCTCCAGAGGTCTTGATTTTGAATAATAATAGCTCGTATAAAATGTGAAACCTTCAAAGTTCGCACATCATATTGTTTCTTTTCGTACACTAAAAAAGGCCAACATTTGGAAAAATCATAAAAAAAAAAATTAAAATCAGTATAAACAAACTAATGTCAAACCATATGCTGAGTAAATTTATCTGTCGGCAAACCGACTGATACTTTTTTATTTTTTTCGCCTCATCGTCATAAGTGCCCAACTTATTTTAAGAAATGGAAATGTTCGGCCTGAAATATCATTTGAACATGAGACCGGTATTATTATTTTTTAAAGCAAGTATGGCATATTCATCATAGGTTCACATTTCTAATGATTTAAATGAAATAATAATTCATACATGAAATATAAGTGCATCCCCCCAAACAGAGTTTAGACATGTAAATAAATATCTTGATGGCACATGTGAACTCTGCTAAGGGGATATAGAGATAGACTTAATGTTGTCCATCATATGAATAATAAAATAAATATTAATACTCTTTAAATATATAATTTTGCTCGTAATGCCAAAATGGGAAATAACAATAATAAAAATAATAATAATAATTAATAATAATAATAAATTGTATCCTGTGATTTGAATTGTTTTTGTTTATTATAATTTGATGGACAATCCTAAAATTTTTATTATTTCGGACAATTTTCAACTTGGTTTAAAACACCTCCAATACAAGGCTCCTTGGACACCTGAATCCTCAATCGTTGCCGCTTAGATATTGGAAGCCAGATAAGTGATGTATTGCAGATAACCCAAAAATGACACATTTTATTAAAGTGTAAACGTGCTTAATTTTTTAATTTTAAACGAGGGGGATTAACATATGCAGTTGTCCAAATTTTCCCGCGCTAAAAATTGCTGACTGAACTCTTCTAAAATGGATTCTGTTGAAGAGACGCATGGTGTAAGGATTTATTTTTTGATGTCAGAGAGAGATGATACTGGATGACGAATACGGAGTGTAACATCGTTTTAGCTGATACGGTGAAACGAAATGTAACGTTTTTTATTATAATTTGCTAAAAACAACACGATATTAGATAAAAATTGAGATTATTTGTGCCGATGTGTAAAAATCAATTAGATTTCCCCATGGAATCGAGACTTATTATTTGGTCGGAATCAGCGACAGCGTCTGTATTATTTATGTTTCTCAAATCCACAGTATGAATTCATCAGTACAAGCTCCTTCATTGATGATTTCCGGCAAAATTTGGACCAATTTTAATTTTACATGGTACATGATTCTCCTACAAGATCGAAACGGTCCCGGAAACATAAATTAAATTTAAAAAAAAATTAAATTAAAATGTCTCATTTTGGTATCTACAAGCAAAACTATATTAAATAATTAAGATATACTTAACAGACGTAAATTTAGAAGTGTTCAAACATCAGACGAATTCAAAATCCAAACACACGATCTTGCATCTGGGCAATATCGATATGGGCAATATAAATATAATAATCAAGATGCAATTAAGATCCTAACTGTAAGTATAAATTGAATTCGTCACTTCGACAACGAATGATGAAATTTTTGGTGATATTTTCGTATGGATATAAGCGATTCGTGGGTATGGCAATATGGGTAAGAATTTATAGACAGAAATATGTACGTCAAAACATACGAAAATGGTGATATATAAAAATAATGTTCAAATGGTGATATCAAATTGGCGTTACAAAGAAGGAAGCAGAAATTCATGGAATCTACCCCCAGGTGGTATGTATAAAAGGTAATTGAGAAAGTATGTATGTGGAAAGTATGAGTAGATTTGATGACATATATACACTAGGGTTATGAGCAAAAAAAAAATATCCCTCAGTACCATGTTATGTCTTGATAACGAAAACTCGTTTTTACTAAAGTGCTTGCCAACTTTTCTTATTTTCCTTTATTATACCCTCCACCTTGGAAAGGATGGTATATTAACTCTGCCATTCCGCTCGCAACATCCCTAAATATTCGTCGTAAACCCCATAAAGTCTATATGATCAGCAACGAATAATCAGTATAAAATTCTAAGTCGATTCAAGGATGTCTATCCGTATGTCTGTCTGTCTGTCTGTGGAAATCACGATACAGCCCACATTATTTGACGTAGAGCGTCCAAATTTAGCAGAACAACTTGTATTGTGTCTAGGATGGTTGGTATTGAAAATATAACGGTACCTCCCGATATTCGGTATGTTGATGATTTTTGCCACATTTTTTCACGGATTTGTCTGAAAATTGGTATTTGTAGGTCTAGTTCGTGTGGCGAAATATTGTAGGTATGGGTCCACGCCTTGGTATAGCCCCCATATAACGGTACCTCCCGATTTTTGGTATTTTGATGATCTTTGCCAAATGTTTTCACGGATTTGTCAAAATTGGTATTTTTGTTCATAATGGGTTCTGGTTGCGGTGACGAAACATTGTATGTATAGGTTCACGTTTTTGTATAGCCCCATATAGCGGTACCTCCCGATATTCGATATTTTGATATGTCTAAAAATTGGAATTTGTGAGTCATAATGGGTCTACTGTTCCCTTTACCCTAAGGTGAATGGTATTAAAAGTTCGGTCTAAATTTGGTATTGGATGAAGGAATATAGAAATCCTCAAATTTGATACTGTGGTCTCTGTTGATATCTGGAATTGAGATATGGAGGTAGTTTCGGAAATGTCTTTCATAAATGTACGAAATGTAGTAACTTGAACTAAATTGAGTATTTGGTGAAGGGATAGATATGATATTGATCTCTCTATTGGTATCTGGGTATAGTATATAGGTATAGTTAGTACTAAATTTGGTCTTGATTGAAGGAATATAGATAAATTTCTGCAATTTGATATATAGATAACTGTAGGTATTTCAGGTTGAGATATAGAAATTGTTTTAAAAATGTATCCTATATTTGTACGAATAGTACTAAATGTCATAAAACGTGCCGTTGGCTGTTGGGATAGAGATAAATTTCTAAAATTTGGTATTGAGATCACTGTTGGTGTATAGGGTGGAGAAGGAGGAAGTGTGTACTATAGTTGTTCGGAAAGTACTGAATTGAACTAAGTTTAGTATTGGAAAAAGGGATAGAGCATAAATCGTAAAATTTTATATTGCGATAACTGTTGGTGTCTAGGATTGAGATATGGAACGGTTTTGCAAATGAGTACTAACATATGGCGACGTTGAAATAGTTTTGGAGAAAAAACAAGTTAAAAAGCAGTAAGTTCGGCCGGATCGAACTTTGAATACCCTCCACCATTTGGAACGAGTTTGGAAATTTTAAAATCCTTAAAAAATTATATTGGGGTCTATACGACATGGCCCTACATAGGCATTGTTTGTCATAAGCCAATACCATATTCAAATTCGAAACTTGAAATAAACGGTGAATAATGTAGCTATAATCATCAAAATATCGTATATAGACAATTCTCAAATACCAAATTTGAAACAATTCCGGTTAATAATGTCCCTAAAATCATCAAAATACCGAATATCGGGAGATACCATTATATGGGGAATATATGAAAACGTGGACCTACATGGCCTATTTACGAAACCTGCCTACTGGTATTTTTCCAAGTGTGCAAAATTTTAACCTTCTATCTCAATTCGTTGGAAAGATAGCGTGATTACAACAGACAGACAGACGGACGTGGCTAAATCAACTTTTTTTTTTGATTTTTCGCTGATCAAGAATATATATACTTTGTTGGGTCTGACATGAGTATTTCGAGGAGTTACAAACGCAATGACAAAGTTAATATACCCTCCATAGTATGGTGGATGGTATAAAAATTAATATGCAATGACACTATTAATATCATCCTCGGTAAACTTCAAAATTAACTCTTTTATGTTAATTGTAAATATTTGCCTTTTATTCTTTCCGAACAAGGAAAAACTTAAATAATATATAAAACTTTGAAAAGTTTAAATGTTTAGTACGAATCTTGAACGAATCTACATTTTTAAGGTAAACTTTTCGCTGACGAAGTTGCGGTCTCTTGCTAGTCGTAGTAATATTTTGAAATTTTGCAGGATCTGAAACAGAAGGTAGTTTGTAAGTTATTTTTCTGCACATATATATTACATTTGGTACCGCAAGTTGAGTAGTATATTGCATATATACTACTCAAATACTAGAGCTTATTACTCTAGTCTCTTGCATTTAAAAAAAAAGTAGCGCTTGGTGGAGGATATGAAAAGTTCGGCATTTTGCATGGTTCGTTACGCTTTTGCATATAAAAACTTTATCCGATTTAACCGTGATAACTGACCAATCACAAAATATATTAAACGCATGTCTTTTATCATAAAATTTAAACGGATTATGCCGTGTTTATATAGGAGCTTATTCATGGTAGAAGAATACAGGTAGTCGCATGGACACAGCTGCTGGGACAATGAAATGTCAAACCAATTTTGGAATTGAAAATGTTGAATGAAAATTTATTTAAATTTGTAAAGATTGTGGAAAAACGCGATTTTTAATGACCTACGAATTACGCCATGCAAGAAAAATATAAAAATCTACATATTTTTTAAATAATATTTAAATTTTGTTGACATATCAATGCTCCCAAGTGTTGATGCATCTACCTGTATTTTTCCACCATGACCTTATTGTAGAGGTAACCTACTTTAAGAGGATTTATATGTAATGGACATGATAATTTTAACCAAATACAGTGACAGTGTAAAGGGGTTAACTTTATGTGTAAACGTACTGTTAGTCAATTATGAGGAAGGTATTGGACTTAAAAATATTGTATGTAAACTTGTTATTACAGGCAAATATTTTGTTAATTATGCTATGTTTACGTTAGAACTTTTTGTAAGGTTAACCTACTTTGAGAGGATTTATTTGAAGTATAAATAATGGATATGACAATTTTAATCCAAATCCAGTCGGTTAACCCATTTATATATAAACGTACTGTTATAGATTTAATTTAATAAAGAAAACATAAATGTTATTTTTTTATTTTGAACAGGTTTCTATATATTATTGGATTTTTCGAATGTGAACCATTTACGTAGAGAGCAATGTTGGCAGAATATCGAAAGATAAGTATAATTATAGGGCAGGTGTATACAACAGCAGTTAATGTGTAAAATATGATGAAATTCGGAATAAGTCTATGTATGACTTTATATTGGATGAAATAAACATAAAACTGATTTTCTTCACAGCATCAACAGCACACATGTGTACCTCTAATGCTGTATTGTGAGAGAAATTTTTTAAGTTAAATTGAGCTTGAGTTAAGGTTGCACATATACACTATAATCATTGTATCTTTTAGATTCAAACCGGTGTAAGGGAATACTGCAAATAATTAATTTTGTACGAAATATGGTGCACCAAAAGGGGAAAAAAGATTTTTTATGATGCAGATCGAGAAATGATTTTCTAATCCATAGAAAACGATTAAAGTGTGGAGAACCATGTCATTTGGTAAATATGAAGGCAACATTTTTTTTTAATAATCCTTTTAATTTCTTCAAATTAGCAACACTTGGATTTAGATAGGTTTCAACATTTATGATCGGAACTAAAATGACGATGAACTCCTAATATCTAGCAGAGATAAGTGATCTGCTCGGACTATACAATGAAGACAAGGTAGACTAAGTTATGGCAAGTTGTAAGTAAAGAGGATTGCCTGTATGCACCGTTACGTCAGAATTACTGTCAAAACAAATGCAACAAGTGACTTTGTATAAAATAAACAAAATAACTTATTGCATTTACTTTGAATAAATAAAGAATAACGGCGAAAACTCAATGAATACATATCTTAAATGTATTGTAATTGAATAATTACAATTAAAAAAAATATATAAACGCGATATTACAAATCAGGTACTGGAGTTGTAGTAGATACTTGAAGGTTCTGCAACAAAACAATAATTTATATAGTTTTTCAGAAGCTATCATGATTATTTCCTACGTTCATCATTGATGGAAAAATTTTGGTACGTATTTACTAAATGAATAAAGCATACTTCGTTATTTTATCCCATAACATATACTTTATTGTCTTTTTATTTTATTTCCAGGAAGTTTTAAATATTTTCAAAGGCTACACATTTTCTACTAATGGCTAGTTAACACTACGTGTTAGAGTCATATGAACTGTCACTCTTACCATCTTTGAATGCTGTACGTAAAGTTCAACCCATGGTAGAAGAACAATGAACTATTAAACAATGCGTTGATGTATTTACTTGTATTCTTCTACCATGGTTCGACTCATACAACAAATATGGTACAATAAGAAGGTAGAACAGCTTCATAAACTACAGAAATACAGCTCTGTGGCTATGACCGCTTCCTGTCAAATCTTATTTATTAATATTTCTATGTTTTCAAAATCATTTAAACAGCGCCAAAAATGAATGAAATATGATCTAAATAGTTCGATCTTTGAATTACATGGCAAAACTGGGGAATATCTTTAATGCGCGTTCCGCAATGTTTCAATCATCAGTCAAAAATCAATCATTGATTTTGAAAATATTTTGTTTTTATTTTTCAAAACAATAAATACATACACAAGATTGGCAGAAGTCGGGCACACTTAGAAAAAAAATTGTGATCAGCTGGTAGCTCTACCATACCTTTTTATTGTACCATGCAAGAAAGTAAATCTATTTAAACAACATGGCAACACTCATGGCAACACAAACGTATTTTTCCCTTAAATTTTTGTATTCTTCTTTATACCCTACATCATATAGGGGAAAGGGTATTATGTCTTTGTTCATTTGTTTGTAACATGAAGAAGGAAGCGAGATAGACCCATAGTTACTTTCGAGGATTTTTATTGAATCACTTTCTTGGTCGATTATGCATGTCAGTCAGTCCGTCTGTCCATGTATTTTTGTGAATAAAATGCAGGTAGCATTTATTATCCAATTAAGATGAAATTTTCCAAATAATATTTGTTTGGTTCAAGAACGAATCCAATTGAAATATAAGAATGGTAAAAATCGGTTCAAATTTAGATATAGCTTCCATATAATCTTCAACCAATTTTGCATTAATTGTACACCAAATGGCCAATATCAGTCCAAATGACCTGAATTTTGCCACATCCAACCAAATTCAGTCGTAAAAGCAAGTACTTCAAATTTGGTTCAGATATAGCTATAGCCCTCTATATGTTTTTCATCCGATTTGGGGTTTTAAGTCCCTCACATGCGTAATATGCACTTCACAACAATTCCACAATCTTTGACCAGATATCAGATACAGCTCAAAAATATTTGTTAAAATCGGTTCAGATTTGGATATAGCTCCCATTTTTATCTTCAACCGATTTCCGCTTAATTGTGCACCAAATGGGTAATATCAGCCAAATCGACTGAATTTCGGCAAGTGTTTCATATTTTCGTGAAAGTCGGTTGAGATATAGCTATAGCTCCCATATATATGTTTCGTCCGATTTGGTGTTAAAGTTCCACACATGCGTAATATGCACTCCACAACAATGATATTTGACACCGGGCATCAGATACTGCTCGAAAATACCTCTGCCAAATTTTATTGAGATAGGTTTAGAGTTTTACATAGCTTCGATATACATCTTCGTCCGATTTTACGGTTATTGCTCACCATATATGTAATTTTAGCCCAAATTGAATAGATTTTTTCATATTTAATTATTTGGTTAAATTCGGTCCGGTGTATATATTGCTCCAATAAATATTTTTTGATATAGTCCTTATCGAAGTCATATCATGCACTATACAGCAATGTTATTTGGTTCATAGTTGATATAATCTACTTCACATAAGTTTTCAGTATAAACTTTTTTGTTTCGTCCGACTTTTGACCTTTCCTTACTGGGTTTATTGCATTCATGTTAGAATCAAGAAGGTAAAGTCATGCAAACATGTGATCACAATTTTTTTCAAAATATTTCATTTGGCAACATCTAGTTGTTAAAATATATATGTGGCAACCTTCAATTACAATTTACTGGTTATAGGCCGGTTATTACATCTTGCCGATAGATAAAAAAGTTATGTTGTCGTACACATAAATCGTTTTTCGTTATTACAAGTTTCATTTGAGTATGAACTGTCCGATAAGCAAAAGGTCAGACCATCTTCCCCATGGTAGAAGAATATAGGTAGACGCGTCGACACAGCTGCTGGGACAATGAACTGTCAATGAATGAAAAATTATTTAAATTTGTAAAAATTGTTGAAAAACGCGAATTATAATAGCCTCCGAATGACGTAGTATAAGAAAACATATAAAAATCTACTTATATTTGAAAAAAACATTTAATTTTTTTGACATATCAATGATCCCAAGCGTTGATGCATCCACCTGTATTCTTCTACCATGATCTTCCTTTTATCTTTTAACATAAAGTTTACTGAATTCATGTTGCCATATTTTTTATTGATAGTATGGTAATAACAGTAAAATGTATTTACATAAAAAATGAATAACGCTAATCGTTTATTTTATATTGAAGAACTGAATTATAGATTTATTTCACGAAATTAATTACAAACTCGTTTTGTTTATTTTTTTTTAAACTAAAATGAAGATGCCATTGTGAAAAAAAAAACTCAGCTACTACCAGTTACTTTTACAAAAACCTTGCCATATCTCTGTAAAAAATCATTTATTTTAAATGAAAGATATAATAATGAAAACTTGATAATGTGAACTTTATCGTTTACTTTACTTAAAGTAATGTGGCGTTTCCACTGCACTTGATTCACTCTCTATTCGTTGTTTGACCCTTAACTATGAAAAAACTACACAATTCTTCACACAAAATTTCCTGAGCGAACACTCATATTTGTACGTAATCAAATCACTCTCAGAACAACGAAAAAATATGTCCCATCCCTAACAAATGAGAGTATTTATCGAAAAAATAAATTATGACATTTAAAAATTAAAAATAGAAACATTTTATGAAATTTTTAAAAATTTTGGGAAGACTGAAAATTATGAATGAAAACTACAATGTTGAATGGCGTATGTACATTCAAACGAAAGTAAATTTCGTTCGAGATACTCATTTTGTCCACGAGTTAAAATTTCCACAGAAAACGCAAACAAAAGAGGCAACATTTTCAAAATATTTCTATCGGCAGAAAAAATGTTTGACAAGTGTCTCTCCAGCAGAATTTAAAAATGGTAAGACACAAAAATGTGTTCAAAATGTCAACATTTACACAAAAAGTTGAAATCGTGAATGAAAATTGTAAAATTAATGATATAATAAATCTTTGGGAGGAAAACAATAATTTCTTCAATTCATATTAGTGAGAATTTCATGTATTTTCGTATAAATTCCCATTAAAATCAACAAACAAAATTTTTGAAAAAAGGACTTAATTTACTATGAATTACGAATCGTGCCGTATGAACGGGTTAATTCATGTACCTAATTCTGAGAGCGAACAACGTTGTTCGGTTTCCAATGGAAACATGCTATAAGGGATAACAAAAGTGGACTATAAAGGAAAGAAGTAATAATGGGCCATAGGGGCCATTTTATAATCGGTATTGTTTCCACAGAGGCTTTATTTATTTCACATAGAAACAATAACAAAAAACTTAACATTTTATTTGCTTATGATAATACTTTATTTTCCTTGCAAAAGGCGGTTGAACACTTATTTTCCAACATCAATTATCTCTATTTTAGGTTTTCTCATACATCACGTTTGGCCATTTTTTGCACACCTTTTTGGTTGTGTATGTATATCAGCTGAGCGGTATTCATATCCTCCTAATGGTGTATTTAAACACACAAGGTTAACCCGCTGGATCTAATACTCTTCAATGGTATAAATGTTACCTTTCTAGGTAACAAATTATTCTCAAATATATATTTTTTTTATAATATTAAATATTAATTCTTCAAATCGCCTTTCTTCCATATGAAAAATAATATTTCAAAACAGAGTATATATAAAATAAATATTGGATTTCTGTTTTAATCAATGAAAATGATTTCTTGTTAACTATTTTTTTTATTTCCAGATAATGTTGAAAAATTATACGGTTAATAACAAGATATTGGTTATTCGAGACCTCAAGAAATTTGAACTGATAGCTGAAATTTACCGCGTAATTTACACACATACATATATAAGAAATACAAAACATTAAACAAAGTAAGAAAGTTGGAAAATAATTTACTATAAAAATGTTCAGTCATATTCAGGGTACGTATATATTATTATAGACAATACTGCTTAAGTCATAACCCGAATCAATGTGATTTATCATTCAGTGTACAATTAACAAGTTAAAGTATGTTTACATACAAAATCTCTATCTGTGTTATTTGACTAATAAACATGGTTATAACTTGTTAATTGTATAATAATATAATAATTAGCTTAAAAAACAGTGCTAAATTTGTAGAACTAAAACATAAAATAGGTATAAATTAAACAACACTTTATTCATATAACACATATATATATACATAAATAATTGAAAAATGTTTATATTACAATTGTTTATGTATTGATGAATTAACACAACTCATATTATTAATTGGCTATTAAATTGGACTGATACGACTGATGAAAAATTATATATTTAAAAATTCAAAAATATAAACAATAAAATCAAACAAAATTAATCATACCATTAAACTTTCTTTGTTTCAATAAAAATTATTCAATATTTTTTTTTTGTGGAAAAATAAATAGAATGTTTGACTATTATACAAAGGTAAGTATTCGTGTAAGTTAAAACACCCAAAAAATCAAATTTTAAAGATTCTAGGATGTGCATGCACCTTTGCAATTTACATTAACGTTGATGCCGATCTTTTTATGTGAAAAGTTGAGTTATGATCAAAATGGCATTCCTTTAAATCCCTAAAAGTTTCTTAAGGCTAGGATTCACATTATGGTATAAGAATACAGGTCGCATTGACACGGCTGCTGAGACAATGAACTGTCAAACCAATTAAGAAATTGAAAATTTTGAATGAAAAATTGTTCAAATTTGTAAAAGGTCTTGAAAAACGCATATTATAACAACCTCCGATTGGTGTCGTATAAGAACATTTTTAAAAATCTACTTATTTTTGAAAAAAAAAAATTTATAAAAATGTTGTATTTTTTTACCATAGACACACATAATGTTATAACCTTATGTAAAACTCCATTTTTCTATTGCTTTTAACTATTTTTATGCCCTACACCACATAGTGGTAAGAGTGTTATGTCTTTGTGAATTTGTCTGTAACATGGAGAAGGAAGCGCGATAGATCCATATTTACTTTTGAGGATCGTCATAGAATCACTTTCTGAGCCGATTTATGCATGTCAGTTCGTCTGTCCATGTATTCTTGTGAACAAAATGGCCAATACCAGTCCAAAAGTTCTTAATTTTGGCACCCTGTAATGTAAGTTTCTTCCAATCACTGATTTTAAAAATTTTCTGTTTCAGAATCTGCCAGAATCTACTAGTTTTGCAATTTTTCCGATATCATTATTATCGTAGTGAAAATTTTTATATTGTATATAGAGAAAATTATTATATTATACTAGCTGAACCCGATGCGCTTCGCTACCCTTTTTGGTATTATATGCATTCAAAATTTTATATACAAATATTTGTTAATTAAAAAAAAATTAAAACAAATTCAAAATTTTTTAAAACGTTACAACTGGAATACTTTTATGCGTAAACAAACAAATAGCTACCAACGCGTGAATATGCCAAGAATTGCTGATCATAAGAAAAGCAGGAACGCGCCAAATTTAGTCCGCATATACGAACGGTTTGTCCTTCGGGCTTATTAATTTCATAGCAAATTCCAAGCGTTCGGGAAACTGCAATCTTTTGAAATTGAATGGCATTTCTGCCACTTAGAGAATTCGAGGTAGCAAAATACTTCCCTATAATAATCGTATCATCAATTAAATTGTTGTGTAGTTTTTTACTGTTAAAGACGTTGCAAAGACGTTGTGGGTCAATCCCTCTTAATAAAATCATATCCCAATCTGAACCGATTTCAGTTTAATTTGCCAAAATTTACTTTTACTCCGAATTCCGTCACACTTTCATATTTCATACAAATTGGTGTGTCAAATACGTGAAATTATTATTGTTACCAAATTCCGCCACACATTTTGAATTTCACTAGAATCGGTTATATATATCGTGTTTGGTGCATAACATACATAAAATCGGCCGAAATATATATGTGGTGGCCATATCCAAACCTCAACCGATTTTAATGTAATATGGAAAATTTTTTTGGTACCAAATTCCGTCTCTCTGTCCGAATTTTTTTGGAATTAGACATACATATCGCGTTGGGTCCATCAAATATTTGAAACCGACCGAAAAAATATATTGGAGCTATATTCAAATCTGAACCGATTTCAATCTAATTTGACAAATTTATTTTCTGATCAAAATCCCGTCACACATTCCAAATTTCATTGGAATCGAACATACATATCGTGTTTGGTGCATCAAATACATGAAATCGGCTGAAAGTGTATGTGGGAGCTATATCTAAATCTGAACCGATTTCAATATAATTTGGCAAATTTATTTTTGTTTTAAATTCCGTTGCGCATTCCAAGTTTGGACACTGTATTTTTTAATCGATCAGTAGATATGTGCATATAAAATCTAAATTTTTGGGAGGTACTTCCGGAAAAAGTAAAAGATTTGCAAACGAGGTTGCATTCTCTTCCTAGCTACATAAATTTATTTAAATAATAATTGTTTACTATTTAGATTTAATAGAATGTGTTTAATTTTTTTCAAAATGTTTAATTTGACATCTCATTGTCTAAATACTTGTAAAATTTATACACAAATCAGAGATGAGAACCTGTTTTCAGTGCAGTGAAATTTTACATGGCAAATTACAGAAAATGCAGAGTTGGATATGTTTACTTGGAAAGACTTTACCTTCTTAGTTTTACCATGGGAACATGTAACGTTTTTTTTTTATTTGCAGATAAGAGGTTGGAATACATGGCAAATTACAGAAAATGCAGAGTTGGATATGTTTAATTTAAATGACTTTACCTTCTTAGTTTTACCATGGGAACTGGCAACGTTTTTTAATTGCATATAAGAGGTTGGAATACAGGTAGACCCATGGTAGAAGAATACAGGTAGATGCATCAACGCTTGGGAACATTAATATGTCAAGTTTTTTTTAATATTTCTTTAAAAATAAGTACATTTATATATGTTTTCCTACACGACGATAGTCGGAGGTTGTCATAATAGGAATTTTTAACGATTTTTTTATATTCTTCTACCATGGCTAGACCCAAAACTTATACTTCAATTTACACTTTCCACAGACTCGTTTATAATGTTTTCCATCCTGAAATGCTTCCATTCCATTTAAATCTGTTTATATTTTTCTTTTAAACATCGCACAGATACTATTCCCGAAAATGAAAGTGGTAGTGTACACGCTCCCAAGACATGGATGGATGGTTGTTTGTGTCGTGTACTTTATGACAGATCTCGACTGTTTTTAGTTAAGTACTTATGAATTGCTGATGAAATTGAATATTTAAAATAACATTATTTTAAATGACGAGTAACATGGATTTACCCATCGTTCATTTGTTAAATGATACGAGTCCATACTGATTTTTATAAAAACCCTAAATCGCAAGTATTGCCATCGTGTGCTACAAATTTACCCCCTACTGTTTGTGGCACATATTTTCTGTGGCTGATTAATAATGTGTTTTGAATAAGTTTAAATTATCTCGTCCGTCTGGTAAGATGAAACATAAGAATAAAACTTAACGCAATAAGCAATAAGTTAATTTATTTTTACTTCCAAAATATATGTTGGTAAAGTTATTCGAAATTGGGCGATGGTTCTCATTTCTGTATTTATATGGTGGTTGAAATCCCTTGCTGTCTATGTTTTCATTGCAAAAATATTAAAGTACTCTCTTTTAATTAAGAGCGAATTAGTATTTATCCAAGGCAATACACAAAAAAGCTTTATTTAATAAAAACAATTTATTTCTGACTTAGTAATGGTCAAATAGTGGTACTTTATTCAAAAATGTCTTTTTTACTTCTTCTTTTATCCATCACCATTAATGTGACATAAAATGTGGTAAAAATGCTTAAAACATATACAATGTAAACCTGACATTTGAGTGCAGAAACACAAATACAGTTTCATGAGAAATTTGGCACCAGTGTTTTTGAATGGAATGCCAATCGTTCTCCTCTCCTCTCTCGCACATTACTTTTCAATGCTTGCCCATCGACTCACCATTACTAGTCGATATGTTCTTCTTATAAATTGATAAAACTTGCGATTTCAGGTTATCGGTCGGTATTAATAGACCTTCACTTTTCTTCCGTTTTCCTTTTTTCTCCTTCTTTTCTTTCCGTTAATTCTTGCTCTTAGAAATTGAAAATACTTTTAACAAATGTTTTCTATGCTTTTCAAATGTTCCTATTCAGAGAAACACAGCCATACCAATAGAATACGTGTCGCAGTGGGATCAAATCAAGTCATTGGAATGTGGACAACCCGGAAAGTTTACATGACATGATTTTCTTTCAAACAAGTATTTTGCCACTGCTATTGAGAATGCAACAAGATGAGGCCAATGTTAAGGTAGTTGTTTTAAATCATTTAAATTAAGCCTGGTGTTAGGGTCAAGCATTGTATAATCTATGTAGGTATATAGTATGAATAAAGATCTTATAATATAATTTATTATTCAGTTTTTTTTTCTGATAATTTTTATTGAGATTATTTAAAGGTGAAAATACATAAAACTGGCTTAATTCATCGGCTGGCTTCTTGGTAGAGGAACAAAGGAGTTTTAGGTTCACTTAGATCACTTGGCCCTACGCTCCTTTGTTCTTTTCCGAAGAAGCCAGCCGATGACTTAAGCCAGTCAGAAAAGCGTTTTATGTATATTCACTTTTAAGCTGCGCACAATAATTTAAAAATGGAAATTATTGTAATACTTTAATGCGTAAACAAACAAATAGCTCGGTCTACCAACGCGTGAACATGCCAGGAACAGCTGATCATGAGAAAAGCAGGAACATGCCAATTTTAGTTCGCATACACGAGGGGTTTGTCCTTGGGATTTATTAATTTTATTGCAAATACATATCGCGTTGGTGCCATATCCATACGGAGGCATATCCAAATCTGATTTTAATATACAGGGTGAGATAAAAAAAAAACTGGAACAGAGTCAAACGTCATGATTTTTACATATTTTTAAGTTTTATTTAATGCATGCAAAAAATATCGGAAATAGCATCAAATTTTAGAATAAGTTTAGATTTGTTCGAATTGGTCACTTTTGGCACGAATTATGACCTTCAAACGGCCATTGAAACCGTCACACGCTGCCCGAATGTTGCTCTGCGGTATTTTAGCCCATTCCCGGCGAACTGCCACTGGAATAATTTTAACAGCTGTCGGATGAGTGGCTTAGAAATGACAGCAGTCTGAAGTTGGTTGAAGTTTTTTCATCTCACCCTGTATTAACTTTGTCATTTGGATTGTAACTCCTCGAAATACTCATGTTAA